GCGATATGAACTAGTGTCTGTGAATATTAAAATGCAAAAAGATGGTTTAAACATGAATCCTGCATGTTCCGCTTGCCTCTGTATGTATGAATGGCGGAAACGCGGTTTTGTTCACTACACAAATACTGAGGCACACGTGACGCTCGCGGTGATTTCCGGCCTCTGCGTCTCATTATATGATGGCATGAACAGAAAAACTTAATCTCCAGAGCTGCTGTGAGAGCCACTTTGCGAGAATTTTACCATTTCATTTGAGAAAACTAGCATCATCATACTGCATACACAAAGAAACTTCATGGCAACCTGTCAAAATAAAAGTGCGGTTTCACATGTAACAGAAATATATTACTCTTGTATTACATTTGTACAGTATAATGTACATCTTTAAATATTCAATTTTCTATCCAATTTAAATAAAACAAGTAAATTATAAAAATAAATATTACAACCAGATTAATCAGTTAATTGTAGAAATTTTTTTTACAATTATTAGCCTATAAAATTTTTTTTTAAAGGAATATTCACACAATTTTTCTTCCATGTATTAATTTCAACAGTAAACCTCAGTTTGTTTGCCAAAAAATAAAAGGGTTTAATTTTCATTTGATTTAAAATACATTTTTATTTCCTTCATTTGATTTTCAGAAAAATTAAAACAAGAATTGAAGAAAGAAAAAGTTTGTAGGGCCCTATTGTTCAAAATGTTGAAATTGCGACTTTTGGACTTATTTTTTCACTGAAATAAATGTTTTTGTAATTACACGGAGAGTAAAATACCGAAAAAAGGTACCGTTGGGTACTGGCACCAAAATGCAGGTACCGATACCGGCACCGTACCGGTAAAAATGTGAACCGTACCCAACCCTAATGATGTATACCGTAATTATCTGTTGATTTACAAAATGACGGCCCAGTAATGAGGCAGGGCTGATGAGAGGCCCGGGCATACATCACTGTCTCTAACCCCAGAATGCCTTCGAGAGCACACCCTCGCCCTCTTACACGTGCTATTTATCTCATATGCATCTCTGCATGCTTCGCATCATAAAATCTGAAGGTATGTTTGCAGTGCCAAGGCGTCAAAAAGTCTGTTTCCTTAACCACTAAGTCTATTTATTTATTTGTCTGGAGCTTGGTGCCGCCCACGCTCTGTTTTAATTAATGTCACGTTGACCTGGACAACACGCTTTGGCAGTTGGCAAAGTCGCTTAATGCCAGCGTGATTGTGAGCGAGCGAGAAAGCCCATTCTAGAGCCCTGGCGTATGGTTTGCACTCTTTAATTGTATTATTCATTTATATGTTTTACTGTAATCTTACTCTGGCACGTACAGGGTGTGCTTAGTCGTGAAACAAGCCTTCTGTGTGCGTTCAAGAGCTTTTCTCACAGCAAGATGTGTGATCAAATCCAGAAGGAAGCCTGTTTCCGTTCTGTAAAAGTACAAGCTGTCTGTCATCTGTCCTTCATTCCCTCAAACAAAGCATGTTCTGCTGAACTGAACATATTCTGAGCTTTAAGAAAGTAGAAAAAGGAGCCTCTGTACTTCCGGTTTAGTGCAACAAATTTGCAGCAAATCACAAAAAAATGTACTTTGTAAGGTTTCAGCTCCAGGTTTCTGCTTGCCACGCTTTTGCTTTGGTTCTAATAGTCACCCTGTAACACAGATTTGCGTCGTATGTTGTTGTGTGCAGTCGGGTTGGGGGAAATTCAAAATGTAATAACTAGCCCCCGTTCAGTTGAGCGGCACAACCCATTGAAATTTGAATTGGAATAACAGAAAAAAAAAAAATTACAAACAAACTAAAAAATAAATATCACAGGTAATGCATTGTTGAAAAAAGTTTTTTCACCCTGGAACACAAAAATAAATTAATTAAATAGGGTGAAATATAAATTCAAATATACCATTCAAAATTTGAGGTTTGATAAGCTTTTAAAATTTTAAAAGGGTCATGAACTGCATTTTTTTATTTTTTTTTATTTTATAATGTTCTCTGAGGTTCACTTATAATGTTAGTGTGATTTTACATCAAAAAACATCATTATTTAGAAGTAATATGCTATTTTCTAGCCTGTTTTTGAGCCTCTCTGCAGAATGGTCTGTTTTTGTAGCTGGGGCGCATTCAAGACTCGCAAGTAAACGCCCACTGCTATGATTGGCTAACAGTTTCGCTTATTAAAATAACAGACGGACGCTGCTGTGACGTACTCTGAAAACAACATGGGTCATTTGGGTTAAAAACATATAAATATATTTATATCAAACAGTCTGGAACAGACAATACAGTAGTGGTAAAAACACCTTTACTCACACTTATGTGTTGCGAATTTGTGACATTACTGTTGGATCCACTCTAGTCAGACTCAGCGCTGCATTATCGTTTACTTTCAGTCTCTCTGAAAAGCCTGCATCATACTGTCTTGTTTAAAAATGAATTCGTAGTAAAGCAAGCAAACAAACAGTGTTTCACTGACGCAATCTGGAGCTCTTTCCTAATTTTACCCCGTGTTTACACCGGAACAACAGAACCCATTATAATCGGCGATTCTGTCTACACTGGATGCGGTACAGATTGACAAAACAAATCCCCGACAGTAAATTGATGTCCCGCTCTATTTCTGACATACAAGCATCCGTGCTGCTTCTACGCTCGCGTCCGATCTAGATACGTTGTTAGGATCACAGAGAAGGCAATTCAAAGAGTATTTACACTACATAGTGTCTTGTAATCTTGTAATGTCATCTGTATGGTTCAGTTGATGGAGTAATCCTGTGTTTGCATCTCTCTAGTATTTCCTCT